GAAGGAGAAGAAGAAAAGAGGAAGAAGTGTATATCTAGAGACTAGACTCACCATCGCCATCATCGTCGCCACCAACCGCCACCGTCATAACTATCACAATTGCAACCATCGCTGTTACAATTATCGCCATGCCCAGATCTAGAAGATGGAAGAAGAAAAGATGGAAGAAGAATAAGAAGGGAGAATAAGAAGATGAAAATGGAGAGGGGGAAAGAGAGAGTAGATGGGCAGGGGAAGACCCGAAGAGGAAGAGAGATAGAGAAGAAGAAGAAGACGAATAAGAAGAAAGGGTGCAGCAGGGAAGGGTAGATTTAGAGACGGGTAGGGTAGATCTAGGAAATTTGAGAGTAAATGAAATTTATTCATAAGGGTATTTTTGGAAGAATTGGGTTATAATTAGAAATGGGAAGATTATTTCCGGACGAGAGAAAATGAGAAACAGGAAGATTATTTCCAGACGGAGGGAGTAACATAAAATAACTGCATATGGCACTCTATCATTATCCCCTCCTTCAAAATTTGCCTTGTCCTCAAGGCAAAAATCTGAACAGTTTCTCTGTATATCTGGAGGTTTCGGTAGAGGTGGTACGAAGACAATATAATGAAAAAATCCAATGAAAGCAGTGCCTGCAGTGGTGCTTTGAACAAAAGGGTCCACATATGACATAACAACTTCAATGATAAATTCTTGCATGATGCCACCATCCAAGGGTTCATAAAGCTTTATCAGAAACGCTGTAGAATTTTCCAGGATGGTGTTAACACAAATATAAGGGTTTTGGAACCCCAAACTGGAGGCATTCTCATCAGCACTTGGCATAATAATCATGGCTCCTTCTATAGCCAATTCTGTAAGTGAGAATGGAGAGATTTAATAGTGGCAACCAATATTCATCATACCTTCATATTGAAACAGCCTCAACTCGAATTGTGGTTGCTGATTGCTATCCATGAGAGCTCTAGTTAGGATCATGGGGGGCACTGTGCAGTCACTGTTAGGCGCTGACTTAGAGTTCCATTTGAAATTCCCTTATCATCATGCAGGAAATTACTTGTTGGATGGGAGGAATTGAAGCAGTTGGTTGCAATGGTAGGGTGTTTGCGCTTACGAATGAATCTTACCCTACCCTTAAGTTTTTGAATTTTCTTTCCATTCACTTCTAGATGGAAGTTAAGAGAAGTGAATCTTTTGCAGGGTGTCACAATATTAACAGTCTTACCATGATCTGATGCTGCATGCTTGGAATTAATGACATCAAGGCGAGCAACAATGCTTAGTAATTGGTGTACTTCATAAGGAGAATAACTCTTGGATGAGAAATTATTGTATGGAGTAAATGGAGAAACTGAATTTTTGCATAATGAACCCATAAAGATCTTATGGCTCTGATACCAAATGATAGAACCATAGTTTTGAAAACCGGACCGGCGATCGAACCGGCCGGGGCACTGGTTCACTGGTTGAACCAGTGGTTCGAGTGGTCGAACCGGCGGTTCGAACATTTTTTTAAAACACTATATTTACACATATTTCTTACTACAAATCAAACTATTATGTTCCTACAATACCAAATTCTTGAATATAGTTTCCAAAAAAGTAAGTTTAAGAGTGTTACATGTCAAAATAAGGTACAATATGAATTGTCAAAGGGTGTTTGAATTATAAAAAATGATCAATGGGAGTTTAAAAAATCAAAGAGCAGCAAAAGGGCTAGTCAAATAGAAACTGTTAGTTAAAAAAAAAACCATGAATGTAAATATCAAAAAAGAGCAGAGCTTAGCTAAACCCATTCTCAACAGTTACTTAACTTTCAATTACTAATGCCAATCTCATACTAGTAAAAAAAATTGGAGTAGTCATTATCCTTAAAAAATTGTAGTCATTTTCTACTAAAAGTATACTTTATCACTCAAAGTCACTTTAGGCTAAGTATTGAAAATTAGAGACCATCCTCTTCAAGCCAATTCGTAGAAAACAAGTGGAAAACTAATAGTATAAAATTCATAGCCATTCATCAATCTCTCTTCCTCTGCATATACATATAGAACATCAATCTGTTAAGTGGCACCTACCAATCCTAATCTCAATTTAAAACTAGTAAAATAAACTACTNATGTGAACTTAATTAAATATAGGGCTAATTTCAATTCGATTGTGTTTATTTTTCTTTCTAATTCAGTTTATATACTTGTACGTACCTAATGCATGGCTATTTTTCTCCAGACAATGCACACAATTACTATGATCTTCTTGATTCCCATAACATTGGGAATCAATATCATGGGGTGACCCGGATACTCCGGTGTCCCGTTTGTAAAATTGGACGGCTATTTGGCCTCTTGCTAGTTTGGAGGCATTGGCTCAAGAGGAGCTAGGCTTGTTTATTCAAGTTTATCCTCCTAGTACTCAACAAGCTTACTTAGCTAGTGTTGGCCTTGGGCACGTGAAACATGTGCAGTGGCACATTATCGCTCCCAAATTTGAGTTGAGGGCCGGGCCCTTTGTTCTTTCAAAAATAATAACCACTGTTTCCCTCTTCTCAAAATTAATTTCTAATTTGTTTTTAATGTCTACATTATTTATCAACATAAAATTTTGTAGTAGAGATTTATGAATAGAAGATAGATTGAGAGTGATGGACTATAACCCCGCAAGCCTTAGAAATATGCAGTTTTTTTAAATTTAACCATTACCTTATAATGTGTAGAGTAGGTGAATGATACGGTGCAACACGAGGACGAGGAGGGCAGCAACGGACGAGCTGAGGATGACCACGAGGCGGAAGTGACAGGGACAATGGGTGAGGAGCCGGGGACGAGCGGAGCGAGACGCCGGCGTGATCGAAAGGTTCCGGCGTGGCATAAGGATTATCTACTCCATTAATTATCTTTATATTATTATTATCTTTTTAATTATTGTAATAGGTTTTTTTAGGTGAGCGAAAATATAAGCTCCTTCGAGGGTTTCTTTACGGTTCTTTACCTCGTCGCTTTTTTTGAACCGTCAGGTTAGAAAACGTAGTTAACTAGGATTGGGTTTCTATTAGGGTTTCTCTCCTTTAAAAAGAGATTCTCCCCATGCATAATACGTATGAAATATTAACCCAGTTAAACTCTACTCCCTTCTCCTTTGGCGCACGGTTTCTTGCCGGCGAATTCTTTCTTCTCTTCTTCTCTTGGTTTCTGGAGCTTGGAGACGCTCGAAGTCTCCCCAATTCGATACTTAGTCGTATCAAGGTGCTCTCGTTGAGAGACGATGACAGAAATATAATAATATATCAACATGAAATATATATATATCTAAAGGTTAGGATCAACGGCACACCTTTAGAGTCAAAAACGATAGCTTGACGGTGTTGAACGGTTTATTCCATGACAACAACTCCCATGTCTTTGTATGTCCCTGGATAATGCCCCAAACATTTTCTCTTACATACTCACACTCTCAATCGATATCCTTACTATTTTTTTTTCTCTCAAGTGTTCCTGGTTCTCTCCTCATGAGAGATGCTATTTATAGGGATCATGGAAAATTTTAGAATGTGTAGGGAGATGAAGAGGTGAATATTAATATTATTAAAAATAAATTTTATTAAAATAAAAAACTAATGACCATATTCATTACCTCCATTATGAGGTTAATGAATGGGAAGGGGGTTATTTTTCCTTGTGTTAGGCTTAGGCGTGAGTTTTAGATGGGGAAAACTAAGGGATTTCTTGTTCCGTTTGTTTAGTACTCCCTCCGTTCTCAAAAACATTTACTCTTTCATTTTTTTCACTTCCAACAAAACACTTCTCCTTTTTATTAAAAAACCACTTTTACCCTTACTTTTTCAAACCATACCTATCACATCATACTTTTTCTCTAATAATCAATCCATCACATCTTACTTTTACCCATCACATCAGGGGCAAAATTGGAAGTCAACAATAATTTTACACTTCTTTAATTTGCCTTATTTTCAAAGTGGGAAGGGTTTTCCCAAACGGAAGGAGTACTACATGTCTGAGATATAAAAAAAATATAAAACTTATACTGTTGAGTTCCATATTTTTCACACATCATTTTAACACAATTTGTTTGTCAAGAAAATAGGTTCCCTTGAACAAACTATATTATTCGCATAGTAGAGAACCAAACTATTTTTTTTCATCTCTACTAGTAATTAATTGTTTAAATTAAATCCCAAATTGATTGTTTCTAAATAAACAATAGTAACATTTTTTTAATTTAAATTTTATAATTATTATTATTTTTCGTATATTTTTATTTTATTTTTTTTAATTTTTAATTTCTTTGTACTAGAAAGTTAAAATTTCTAGACCGGTTTTCAGGGCGTTACATTTTTCTCCCCCTAAAGAGAAATTTCGCCCTCGAAATTCATCTAAGACGAACAAATACTTTTTTTTCTTTTATATTAATGTCACATGTAAAATTTTGGCATTTGTTCAATCTTCGAAATAGAGTACTAAAAATGTTTGGTCAACTTGAGTAAACTTTTGCATTCATTTACTCATAATCAATACTCACCCATCTCAACGTAAATTATCTTCTCTTAAGTCTTGATCGCCATATATCATTTGATCTAAAAGTAATTTTATGGTGGACCTAAGGTCAACATGGACCTTCTCACATAATTTTTTTTTCAATTTTTAAAAGGCTTGTTTCAACACTTAAAATGCTTATTCACCATATATGATGGTCCACCACGGACCTTAGGTGCATATAACTATATAATATTTTTGCCTTGATTCAAAGCTTGGAACATTGATTTTCCATCACTTAATTTTTTTTGTCATTAAACAGGGTCCATGTTTAACCTCCAATGTAACAAGGTAATTAGTTCTACATTTTCTCTTTTTTTTAAACTTATTATTACTATTATTATTTCTTCTGCTAACATTTGTGTCAAATCTCAGGTTGATCTCACCTAATGTATTTAGAGGATATACAATACATTCTAAGAAATAAAATGGTGATGACTTCTAAATTAAACCTATAAGATTTGCTATTACATAAATAAATTAAAAGTTACTTTTGACTCCATTATTTTCCAGATCCTTTGTTCCAGATCCTTTATTTTAACTAATGTATGTGTATTTTTCTACTTTATGTTAATTTCCAATTTGATTTACCAACTAGAGCCTGATAAAATACTCTCACTTTCTAATGGAAATTTATCCTCGAAAGCATAATTAACCAAATACTTGTTTAAGTGTCACTCCCCATGAGTAACAAGAGACGCTTGTTTAAACAAGCTGATAATTTATTGCACTAAAATAAAGTTTTTTTATAATGAGGCTAAATTATGATTTTAATTTAGAGGTGTACAAATTACGGTTTGCGTTTGCTCGTTTTGTCCTCAACAATAACTACTAGCTAGCTAGCCTACTAAGAAAAATGTTTTTGTTTATTATTTATAATTATTATTTATCATTAATATGAAATCTAATCTCAATATTAAATCTAGGGATTTTTTTAATCCCACTCCAAAATATTCAAAATTACAATCAAGTTAGCAATGAAGTAAATTCACAATTTCAAAATTTTTTTAATAATACCTACTCATCTCAAGAATCTCTGCAAGGTAGATAAAATAACTTTAACAATTTTGGTTCAAGTTAGATCTTGACTATAAATAAATCAAACCAAATTGAGTGCATTGATTTTTTTAAAAAAATCATAAAAACTTACATCTTGATAATTTCATGCTAAGCAAAGAATCTTCTATGAATTTGTGCAACCTCAAAGTTTTAGGGTCCAAAGTCCTTCTAATGTAATTGAAGTTTCAAAATAAAGTTTCTTACGCACAATACTCTCAAAGAAAGTTATTAATTCTCGTTTCTTTATAGATATGTTTTTTTAATCCATCATTTTAGTAGCATTACACAAGTTTGTCAAATTTTCTTGAACCCCAGATGGACGTAGTCATGCTTATCTAATGTAATTCGCTCTTTGTTTTTCTTTTTTTTTAAATATCAAAATGTGACTATTTTTGCCACCAAATCTTAAATTACTTGAACCCACATTTAGCATATGATTCCAACAACTTTCTATCAATTGACATTTCTCTCTTTTTGTTGTTAATGTTAAAGTTTGACAT